AAAATTAGTAAGTAAACAATTTAATTTACAGAAATAATAAATTAAATGCTAATAAATAAAATATATAATAAAATATGATAAAATATAAATAATTTATTTTTGATAATTAAAAAATTAATTATTTGTATTTTATCATATTTTATTATTCAAAATGTTTTGCACATATTTCAAATAATATATAAAAAAAACAAAGAAATGCCATTTTTAATTATAATTTCCAGAAGAAAAATAATATTTTCGTTTTTGGCTTTTAACTCAAACGGCATTAAAATAAAATGAATCACGCAAGAAGATAATTGTTCTTGAATATATTTTAAAGAAAGTAAACCATAAATAAAAGGTGTGCTTGCTATTTGGAAAATTTTCATCTTGATAAGTAAAAATCGACCGGTTCTGTGGATTTGCACATATATACACACACACACATATATATATATATATATATATATATATATATATATATAATTTTCGTATACCTGAGTATGCAATTAAAATGGAAGATGCATTATATGGTCCTGGAATAGACGATTCAATGTAAGTATGAAAAAAAAATTTTAACTCAATGTAAATTGTTTGTGAAACTTAAATTCGCTTTTTCTCAAAACTATGTTTTTCAAATCGGTGAACACGATTTCTCGAAAACCACTGAACCGATTTAGTTCTAATTTTCACACAAGCTAAATAACTACTTTTTGCTGTCCTAAATCGAAGATCTTTTAAATAAAATTATAATTTTAATCAACACTTGAAGTCGATTTTTTTTTCATGAAAAAGAATCTTTTGTTTCTACAAGCTGACATTTTGTCAAAAAGTGATATTTTTTTAATTCCTTCGATTAAGGACTACATTTTTTAATACAAAAACAAAATCTTTTTGACTTTTTGATTTCAGATGATTCTGTCAATTGCTATTATGTTCACCGCGGACCACTTTTTTTTCGAGGACCTTTGGGAGATTGGATATAGAGGCCAAAAAGAATAAAATTTTTACAAATTAAATATATTTTTTTAAACTTAAAAACATGTAAAACAATATAGAAAAACTGCCGGTTTAATAAATAAATATTCCTTTGAAAAAAAATACTGAAAAACTGCATTTTGTTTACAGCCTGACTGTATATAACCCCTTAAGACTTAATAAATTTTAATAATAATAAATAATAATAATAAATAAAAATAAAAATAGGTAAAATGTTATAGTATTTATGTTATTTATAATGAACTACTGATTACTCATATAAGAGTGTCCATTTTGCACTTATTGGCTGATCAGTATTCATAGTTACTCATAGTTCTCTCATTCTTTTGGATATTTGGTAGTTTTATTGGGTAAAAGGCAAAATTGGTTATATTAGATTAAAGTAAAAATTGGATATATTGAATTAAAGGAAAAATTAGTTATATTTAGTAAAAGGTAAAATTAGTTGTATTGAATTAAAGGAAAAATTGGTTAAATTTAATAAAAGGTAAAATTGGTTTTATTGAATTAAAGACAAAATTGGTTTTATTTAATAAAAGGCAAAATTGGTTATATTAGAGAGAGTGAGCTAAAGGGTTAAAGATATTTAGATTTTCATGAATCAAAAATCAAATCAAACGAAGTATACAATGGCCAACATAAAAGAGTATGTTATTTTAAGTCATAAATATTTAAAAATTATTAAAAATAGAAATAAGTTGTTAAATTACATGCATATGTACAAATTTAAAGATTTATTAAGAAAAGATTCCAATTCTTTTTTCAATATGCGAAGTGCTTTGTATGTACAAATGCTTGATTTTATTGTCCCAATTAGAGAAGGTAATAAACATATTCAAATACTTTTTAGCGGTAATAACAATTATGGTCACTGAATTTGTGTCTATTACGATAGAGTAAGGCTTTATATTTTTGATAGCCTTAAGGCGTACTTGCGTTTGAAAAAAAATTTTTTTCGATTTTTTTTTACATTTTTTTTAATCCTTATAATGTCAAAAATACGCGTGTAAAATATTATGAAGAAATTCGGATTTTTAAAAAAGTTATACACCAATATATACCTGCATGTACGCAAAAACTATAGCAAAACCGATGTGAACATAAACTTTAAACTCGTTTTTCTCACAATAGTGTTCTTAAAAACGGTACCCCCTGTAGCAAAAAATCTAAACGAGATTTTGAGGTTTTCTTTTTTGCATGTTGTTAAAAAACATATTCTTCAGTGGACTAATTATCAAAGTTTTGAAAATTAAATTTTTTCCATTTTTTTTAAATTTTTAATTAAAATGGCTGTGTAAAAAAATTGTAAAAAGGTGCCTATTTTTCGTCTTCGCAAACGCATGTACGCCTTAATGAGGGGTGTTTAAATGTGCATCAAATAAAATATTTAATTAGATTGTTCCCTTTTAAACCAACAGTAGTATTTGAAGCTGTAAATCAACAACCTTTTGGTAGTGTTGAGTGTGGAGTATATGCAATAGCATTTGCAACATCTATATTATTTAACGTAATGCCAAAACGTGTAAATTATGAAACTGATAATAACAAAATGAGAAACCATTTTAAGTCAATGTTTGAAAATAATCGCTTAAATCATTTTCCGACAGTAAGAACGTCTCACAATAGGAATTCGATAATAGAGAATGATTAGAACCGTCTTTTCATAAATTGTACTCAGGAACATAAAAATTATATTTTAAACTATTGTTCTGTTTTTAATACTTTTCCCAGTAATAATATTAACAGAGTTCTATTAACACAAGATTTAAAAATTAAACATTCTCTAAATGCCACTAGTGAAAACAAAATAATTCGTACAACTAATAATAATGTAAACAAAATTTCACCACATGAATATTTAAAAATGAAAAATTTTCTAAGTAAAGAAAATGATAAAAAGATAAATCGAGCAATTAAAGAGAAGGGAAGAAAAAGGAAGGCAAGGCGCGAAGTTACATATGAGCAGAAAATAATAAGACAGGAGAATGAGAGATTGAGAAAACGTAATCGTAATAAAACAGAAATAAAAAAGAAAGAGCGCAAAAAAAATTTGACATGCAAAAAAAGAAATTATCTATAAAAACTGAAAATGGAAAGAAAATACGCAAGGATAAAAATTTGGCATGTAGGAAAAGAAAAATATCAATGGAAACTCAAGATGAAAAGAAAGTGTGTCAAGAAAATAATTTGTCATGTAAGAAGGGAAAATTTTCTACGGCAACGAAAGATGAAAAGAATGTGTGAAGAATAGAATTTGACATGTAAAAACGATAATCGGAATAAAAAAAGTGCAGGAGTTGCAATAATGTCTTTTCAAGATTTCGATGAAAGTAAAGTTCCACAGAATTATTTAGGTTTAATAAAAGCAGAATGTAAGTTTTGTAATGCATTACATTTTTTGTGTGAAAGACCGTCACATAGATACATCACCGAGGAATGTCCCCGTGAAGAGGACATTATGATATCCCCTGAATGTCACAAAAATATTCCCGGTTGATATTAGCTTGACATTCAAGCAATATTCCGTGCTACTTGGGTGGTAGATCCAATATAAAAAATTTTTTTTTACATTTCTAATATTCAATTTTTTTGAAAAAAAATAAATAAAAAATATGGTTAATGCACACTAGCAACATAGTCAGCCGCTTGAGGACGACAAAGTTGCTAGTTTCTTATTAAACTGAATTCTTTTCCGCTACAGCTCTTACATGGACTTCGTCGGTTAGAAGAGTTCTATTTGGTTTTTCGTCCGCCTTTCGTGTTATACTTTTCTTTTAAGTTCTACACGGGGGTCCGACGCGCAGACGGGCTAAGTCGCGGCGTTCTTAAGGTCTCGCAACACTTTGCCAGGCTAGAGCCAGGAGAGGTGTTGCTCGGAAGTGTCAAGAAGTTGTACTGCAATTAATTAGATTTTGCGACTAGCCTCTAGTCCTTGCCTTCAGTGTCAAGGTTGTGAGAATTTCGATTACTTGTGTATAATCGTCGTAGTAGTAGCGGAGAGAGGGGAGAGGCTTATGATTAGCAATTTTGTCAAATGCGCAGGTTGAAATCAGTGGTTAAGGGCCCTTTGCATACGAAGCATGCTAAAGGGAATACTCAAATTATAATTTATAGATTAATATTGTAACGCGCCAAGCGCCGTAAACTGAGATCTGACACAACGCCCAATTTGGGTAATTAAGTTTAAATAGTCTGTGCAATATTGTGTTAGATATTTATTTTTATACTCAATTTTAAACGAATTTACAGCGGCTGGTGAATAGTGAGAAATCACCGTGTCTTTGGTTTTGTCGCTAAGCACCCTACGTGCGAGAAGTATCTGTGGCTCACCAATTTTCTATACACACAATTATTTCTTTTGGAATATATGACTTCGGTACCAAAGGTGGATTATCGTCGACATTTTTTCATTGATCACAGATTCTCGATCATTGGAATAAAAGGAGATTTCTACGGCCGACAAATCTTCCTAGTTTCTAGCGTCGAGATACACGTGGACCGGAAGTCTGCCATCAACTTCTGACTCTGACTTTGCTAAGGTTAAAATTGTAAAAAATTATCGACTAATTTGTGAGTGCTGCTTACTTTTAATTTGTATCGACTTTTCAACCATCCTTGACCACAAGTTTCTTTGTTTTTGTCTTTATATGATTTTTAAACGCAAATCTCAAATGAATCAATTTTATATTAATATAATCGACAAAATTTGGAGATACGATTATTTTATATTTTGTATGAGTTGAGAATGAATGTGTGAAGTGACCAGTAGTGTTCATTTTTTTCGTTAAATTTTGTGCCTGTCGAATTTATAAAGAAATATATTATAAAGGGAAATAAAATTGGAATTCTCAACTAATAAACTTAATAATTTGATCGATCTAAATTTGTTACAATTGGCCTTAATGACCTTGAACTAACATAACTTTACTTTTAGGATGCACCTACTTTATTAAAATCATAGTTACAGAATTCTAACAAGATTACATAAGTTAATACAATAAACTTAAATTAAGTAGAAATATTTATACTCCTAAGTTGAAGAAGTTTCGGATGCTGATAACGTCAGAGATGTAGCTGGAATGCCACACTGCTTTGTTGTCGACGTCCACTATTCCGCTCGATCCATTCTGGAGTACAGAGGAATAATGCGCATCTACAGATGTCCATTCTGAGAAAGACGCTCGAATTATTATTGAGTCAGCGTTACCGTCTGCAATTTCATGCGTCGTAGCGTTGACTGCTGATAACATCCACCAACTAGTACCAGTTGCGTTTTCCGTAATACGGCCTGTTCGGATGAAGTTTCTGCGTTTGCATGATTGAATGAGTTTTGCAAACTTTAAAACTGCTCCGGCTGGTAATGAGGGCAACGGGTCTGCTGCTGGGTCTCCACAATATTGTGGAACGTTTGTGATGGCTCCGGGATGCGTGATAACCACTTCTACACCGCTTAATATCCTTGATAAGCTGAGTGGTAATTCGGAGAAATATGGTACGAGTCTCCGGGTCGTTTGAATCCCGTCGTAGAAACGACAATGTACGTCGTCAAGACGTGCAGCGAGAAGATTACGACATATAGCTACGAAATCAGCTTGATTGATGATCCCAGTAGCATGGAAATGTCCATCGGGGTATAGCACTGAAGTCAATGAAATCCATATCGATCGGAAGTACGGTATCCATGTACTTGTCACAACGACATGCATCTGTGTTTCAGCGATTGAAACAGGCGTTGAGAATCTCGTAGAGAGCGTTCTCAAGCATAACGCATAGAGTCCGCTAGCGGCTGTTGGAGCTTGCATCGTGGTCGGCTTGTCCGACGTTGATCGCTCACGTGTCCGCGACTTCTTGTCGGCACTTTCGGTCAAGTCCTGAGGAGTGTCAATGGAAGGAGGATTGGCTGCGTTCTGATCCATCTTATCAATATATATGTGTACTATTCGTAAGTAGAGCTGGAGTTAAATCGGTCGTACGAATCTGTAACATCAAATTATTGGTAAGTGACTATGAAATAGTCGGATGTTATTTGAAATGTGTCGATTATATCGATTTTTATCTAATTTATTACTGTGAAAGCGAAACTCATAAAGTGCATCCCCACGACTGGCTTTATTTTCAAAAAATTTTTCTTTGTGTACATCGAGTCGATACCACGCGTCTTTCGAATTAAAAAATAATGGATCATTCACTTGTAAAAGTCTACACGGAATCTTTTTATCACGCGCCATGCGAAATGTAACAATAGAGTTTGGTAACTCCTCTCCCTTCATTCGAATGCGCTGATTTTCTACATCAATAATACATTTGAAGCGAGACAACCAATCAATTCCCACCAAAACGTCTGTGGCCAACCCTGGCACGACTAAAAATGGGGAAGTCAATTGGTGTTCTCCAATGTTCAAGGTCAACTGGACCTGCCGTTTAATTGACGTACTTTTGCTTCCGACAGCAACGCTCACAGTCAGATTGCTCACCGGTAATTCCGCGATTTTCTATTTATTTTTTAATTCATTATAAAATTTTTCCGACACTGCAGTAACTTTACTGCCACTGTCTACCAAAACCGCGACCTTATGACCCTCAATCACCGCTCGACAATCTTTGCCTCTATATCGCTTGCTACCGTTTCCTTTTCCGGTTCTATATCCCAGCAAAAGTCTTTGTTACGTTCCGAACTATGCGTGGTTTTTAAATAAAATTAATTTTATTTACTTGAAGGTAATAAGGCTGATTAATCAGGTTGGCAAAGCCTGATATTTATTTTTATGTAGGATCGTGGTCACTTGTCAAAACTACGGGTTTTGCGTTACAATAACAAGTCAAATATTCCCTTTTGTAACATTTATTGTTTAAATAATAATTATACAGTAATGATTATACAATAATTTAGCGATGAAGTTGGATAAATCGATGATTATAGCTTAGTCGTTATAAATTGGTTTTGATTTGATTTGAAATAGTTCGTTTTGTTGCACTTGTGTAACTTTAACGACTTTGATTGTTTTATAACTATTTAAAGAATTACAATATTCTTTATTGTTATTTCTCGTCACTCGCACCTTTGACAGGAATGAATTTTATTGCAGGTGTAAGAGAAGCAACATATACTAAATTGCCAAATTTAGAAAAAGAGATAATGCAAGATTTCTTTAGTATTTATAGTTATAAATACGACAGTTATTTCTATTAAATTATTGATTTTAAGTGTTAATTTGCTTCTCTTGCACCTATTGGCTATCAGGAAAGAACTATGTTCTAAGTGAAAAGTCAAATTAACTTGCACCTATTGGCTATCAGGAAAGAATACAATAATTATGGCGAAAATAAACTGAAGGGTCGCTCTATGATGTTAGAGATTGCACCGGAACTTTTGACAAGCTTTATGAAAAAAGCTCTCGTTTATATACTAGTCGATTATGCTGATTAGTGGGAAAAATGTCATATTATTGAGGAGGGGGTGATCTATAAATAGAATCACTTTCCTTATATGGTAATGATCTACATCGCATGTTTGACATTGAATCTTCTTCTTTCTGAATTCTCTCTTTTATATGCTGACAATGGGCTTTTGAAGATCATATTACACTTAGATCTTCACAATCTTCACATTCTTCACGCGTATAATCAAACAAGCTCGAACTTGCTTCACATTTTGCTTACATATATCTTATTATTAGCTATTTAACTTTCTGAACTTTTATGGTGAAAACGAATGTCGTATCTCTTTTAAGATCGATTTCGTTTCCACACTCTATCCTATCAATATATACATAAATAAATACATTAAAATAAGACATATAGTTTAAATATAGTAAAATTATAATAGAATTATATGAAATGTCTTATTTTAATGATAATTTTAAAGAAACTTAGGGAAAATTGTTACCGGGATGTAACAGTCTTCAACAAATTCAGACGTACTAGATTTCAAAATCGCGCGAATGTCGCCGGAAGAACCTCCTTTGTTTACCCCGCTATCACGCGTATTTTGTTTTCTATTATCATTATCATCATTGGGTTGCGCACGTGTTGGTTGGCCGGATTGACCTCACCCCTGTCGCTAATTTTTAAATCGATCTCCATCATGATTTCTCTGCTTAAATTGCGAATTACCAAGCAAATCATTTCTTTTATTAGGATTGTTATTATCCTTTTGATTTTCCGATCCCGGATGAGATTTTTCATAATTATTTGAATTGAAAAAATATCCACTTTCCTTCGGATTTGAAAGAGCCCCACATTCAACGTCCCTGCGAGTACATCTAACAGAGCCAAAGCTTGAAAAATTTTCGAAGTGTCATTATAGTCAATGGTAGCTAAGACCTCTCGCGCTCATTGCGGCAATTGTTTTACAATCAAATAATTAATTTCATATTTCGCGAGAGATGTTAAACAAAACTTTGCACCCCTTAATTGTTCCGTGTAATAACCCTGAAGTGACCTGTCACTATTTTGGAAACGTCGATTTTCCCAGTCAGATTTCGCGTTCATTCGCGCTTCATGGAATAAAATTCCTCTAAAAATTTTTCTTTAAAATGTTGAAAGCTAATAAAAGGGAATGCTCGGGCATCATGCCACATTTTCGCCTTCCCCATCAAAGCATCTTCAATAAGAATTAATTTTAAATTTTCCGAAACTTTTTTTCGCACAAAATATTTTTCCAAGTGTCGAATGAATTCAATCGTGTTCTTTCTCACACCATCAAACTTAGGTAAAGGAATTGTGACTTGCATTGATTCGACATAATTCACGAATCCGCGCATAAGATTGTCTTGACCACTCATCTGAGAGTCGACATTACCAGAACTTTCTCGTCTGTTATTTTCGAAATAATTATCGCGATTATTTCTATCGTCAAATCTACTGTTATTAATTCTCGAGTTCTGTATACTATCGTTTACAAATATATCGTCATGCCTCGTCTGGCCTCTCTCTCGATTAGTCATTCGCTTACCACTTTCCGAGTCTGCGAAATTATCAGTTTGCGCGTTGGCATCTTTCTTCGTCACACCTTCGCCCGTAGCCACTGTCCTACTCTGCACCTGTTTCTCTAAGGCGTCCTTCATGCGACGAATTTCCGCGCTCAAATGTTCGTTCTCTTTGTCAGATTGGGTTGTCGATTCTCTTTAACTTCGCCTTCAATTCAATCACCTCTCCTTGTACCAACAACAAAGCCTCGTCACTGTCATCGGTTTTATCCGTTACTTTGCGTAGAGCCATTTTTCATGAAAATAACGTATAGAATTAAAATTTTTTTTCTTTACAAATTACAAAAACATACAAATTTAATTGCAAAATATAAAAGCCACTACGTCAGGCGCCAATTGTAACAAATTTAGATCGATCAAATTATTGAGAATTCCAATTTTATTTCCCTTTATAATATATTTCTTTATAAATTCGTCAGGCACAAAATTTAACGAAAAAAATCAACGCTACTGGTCACTCCACACATTCATTCTCAACTCATACAAAATATAAAATAATCGTATCTCCAAATTTTGTCGATTATATTAATATAAAATTGATTCATTTGAGATTTGCGTTTAAAAATCATATAAAGACAAAAACAAAGAAACTTGTGGTCAAGGATGGTTGAAAAGTCGATACAAATTAAAAGTAAGCAGCACTCACAAATTAGTCGATAATTATTTACAATTTTAACCTTAGCAAAGTCAGAGTCAGAAGTTGATGGCAGACTTCCGGTCCACGTGTATCTCGACGCTAGAAACTAGGAAGATTTGTCGGCCGTAGAAATCTCCTTTTATTCCAATGATCGAGAATCTGTGATCAATGAAAAAATGTCGACGATAATCCACCTTTGGTACCGAAGTCATATATCCCAAAAGAAATAATTGTGTGTATAGAAAATTAGGAGCCACAGATACTGCTCTACAATATTAATCAATAAATTGTAATGTGAGTATTCCCTTTAGCATGTTTCGTATGCAAAGGGCCCTTGACCACTGATTTCAACCTGCGAATTTGACAAAATTGCTAATCATAAGCATCTCCCCTCTCTCCGCTACTACTACGACGATTATACACAAGTAATCGAAATTCTCACAATACACCCCTTTTTTATAAGTCGAGACACGGCGCATAAAAAATTTTTTACAATAATCGTCGAAATTCATTAATTAATTCAGACAACTTATGCTCAACATATAATCGAGTCCACCTTCGCAAGTACCATCAGTCAAGCTCGTCTTTGTAAACAATAGATTCAAGTTAAAAAGAAAAAAAATTACACGCTAAAGCGTAACACCGACCAACACCAAAACCTACTTATTCGTTTTCTTTAATATATTATTTACAATTTTTTTCAAAATTTAAAATCACATGCCTTACATTCATGCCCATTCAATAAAAAATGACAAATTTTTTTTGCGCGATTTTTTGCAATTTTTTTTTTACGCTAATAGCACATAACATACGTCACTATTTTTAATCTAAGCTAAAAAAATTATCTCTCCAGAAAGTTATGGCGATTTTCAATTTACCTCATATCATTCTTATTAGATTCAGTTGTAAATCTATCGACACCAAAACCAAATTTTTCGTTTTCTTTTATAAATTATTTACAGTTTTCCTTCAAAATTTAAAATCACATGCCTTACATACGTGTGCATTCAATAACAAATGATAAATTTCACAGCCACACAAAAAAAAAAGTACCCGGGCCGGGGAATGAGACCACCATTTCTTGATGTATTTTGATGCGCTGAACACGAATCTGAAGTCCGTTTAGCTCCATCACGTCAGGATTTTGACATAACCTCAAAAAACATAGCTGATTTTAAATGACAGGAGAAATTTTTTAAATAATGGCAGATTTGTTTGAATCTTGTTACTCGGGGGTTTTTGGGGTCGCTGATTACGAATTTAACGTCAGATTTAATAAATTCAAAATGGCGGATCCAATATGGCGGACGAATTTTTAAAAAGTAGTTGGATTTTTACGAAAATTGGTATCT